TTGTAACTCAAAATGTTACTCAAAACCACAGAAAAAAGTCACATTAAAATTGTAGTAACTGAAAATGTTTCGACAATAACTATACGACTAAAAATAATTCATCTTTCTGAAAAATTTGTTCCGGACAATACAGTCTTAACTCAAAAATTGGTAATTATATTTATTACCGTCAAATAAAAAAAAATTTAAATGATAATTGCGTTAATTTTATTAATGAACCTAATAGAGCATTAAATATTTTATAATTTATAACAGGAACAGAATAATACATTTTTCGACGATTCTGAAAAAAGTCGCTTTTTTGCGTTACAACAGTATTGTACTATCAGTGCGATAGATAATTATGCCCTTGATATGTATAGATATACCCTTTTATACATATATATATATATATATATATAATATATATATATATATATATATGTATGTATGTATGTATGTATAGAGCAGTGGTAGCTCAGTAGTTAACGCTCGCTGTAAATATAACAGAGTAACCGGGGTTCGATCCCCGCCGGCACCAATGAAATTGTTAATTGCAATTTTAAGTGCTGATTTACCACGTGCTCGGCGGTGAAGGAAAACATCGTGAGGAAACCTGCATGTCTGAGGAATAAGAAAAAAAATATTTCGAAGACATGTGAAGTTCGTCAACACGCATTTGGGCAGCGCGGCGGACACTTCCTTGCCCTAAACCCTCTCAGAAATGAGGGGAGGCCTGAGCCCAGCAGTGGGACGTATATAGGCTGTAACTTTACTTTACTTTTACTTTATATGTATAGACTAATTGCAAACCGATATATCAAGACTAGGTATCGCTCGGTGACAGCAACAACTCGGATACAGACTCGGATCAGTCGCTCGACCAAATAGCATATTGTATAAGGGCGAGCCATATACAGCGGCGGTCTTAGGGGGTGGCGAGCCCAGGGACTCGCTTGTATAGGAGTCTCGCGCAACAACCCAAGCAAATTTTAAAAAAAATAGATTTTTAACTATATTTTTATTTAAAACTCATGTTTCTGATCCTTAATTAAATATTAAGGTAATTATAACATAACGGTAAATTAAAATAAAGTTAGTTAACTAATTCATTCATTCAAAACATAATTGAAAAATTCATTATGTAGTACTTGAATATCGTGCCTCGAAACACTTGAAGGTCGGTTTTTTAATCGCATTGCAAGCGGGTCAGCTCGGGAGTCGGGACATAATGTTCTGCTTATTTATCGCTCGGGGAATGCCCGTGTTTCATTTCATTTGTCAACTCTTGTCACATTGGAATTATTTTGCATGCAGTATGAGTTACAAAATTGTTACTGTATCGTACAAATCTTTAAATTTTATTGAATATTACGTTCTTATAGTATTTAAAGTATTGAGTGAGTTGAAAAGTGTAAATTATAGTATTTGAAGTATTAAGTTGAAAAAGTGTAAAAAAAAACTCTGTGATACTTAAAAATTATATCTGACTGTTTATACGAAACGAAAGAAGATTTACGAAATGAGTTCGCGTGATCGTGATTTGAGTAAGGTAGTTCAAAAACAAAACGAGCTATCAAAAGAAAGCAGGCAAAAAACTCTACTTGGATCATTATATAAATATATAAAAAGTGATGATCAAGAAATCTCTCCAAACATTTATTGACTGAAAGTGACACTAATCCTGATCCAGCTGAAAACATTAATCATGGGTGCCGCCACCGACATTAAGTAAAAACTGCGAGGATGTCTCTTAGGCCACCGTTGCCACCGTCAACGCTATCTAGTCACGGACACGAATCTGTGCCCGAGTCTATGTCTACCTCCATGACTGCTAGAATGGAAAATTTGAATCCTCAAAATGACCCCAGTTTGTGGCCCATAACAATTACTGATGTAGACCGAACCAAGATTGTATTAAAATGTCCAATACGGGTTAAAGTTGATTTATTTTCCGTAAATGATAATGGACAGCGATTCAGCGAATATCATTATAAGACATCAGTTAATGGTGAAAAGCTTAACAGGCGCTGTATGATTTATTCACAAACAAAAGATGCCGTTTACTACTTTCCGTGTCGAATATTTGGGCTAGCAAATACAAAGATTTGATCAAATAAAGGAGTGTGTGATTCGAAACACTTGGATGATTACCTAAAGTCTCACAAATCTAGTATAAACTCCTGATATTTTCTAATTTTTAGAGCGTGATAGTGACTATTTTTGTGATTAATTATTTTCCAAAATGTTCTGTGAGTGACTGTGGCGTCAATAATAGAAATAATCCTGATAATTGCACAATCCATAGGTAAATTCACAAGATGTCGTTAATGTTATATAACGCGTCTATTTTTAGTTAAAATTTATGTTTTGAACTGCCTTAAATATATAATATTTTCTATTATTTTATAAACCTTGATATTTTTCAAAGATAAAGTCACATTGATGATAATTTGTATGATATTGGTGAACTCATTTTTACACACAATATTTTACATGTACCCTAGGGATTTATCTTGAATGTTTATAAATAATCGGTAAACTTGCCTACACTACAAAAAGATTTATTATTTTACATTACATTATGTACTCCGTATCCCGGTTTTTATTTCAACAGCAAAACATTTTATAAGAAATATAAAATATATAAAGGTACGTACTTAATTATTTACCTATTTATATTTGATTAACATTATATTAAAAAAGGAGTTCTAGGAAAACTGTCCATGGCAGTAAATATTTTTCTCTAAAGGTCATAGTTCGAAAATACAACCTTCCGATCTGATTCTTGGCGAAGTTGTTTAAGTTTATCAGTAGTCTCACCTCTTCAGATATTATCGAGAAATTGTACATTTTGAATTAAAATTCCATAAAAATCAGGTAGATGCAATTTATTGAACATAATATCATGGTAAAAATTCAGTTAGTTTTTGAAGTTATTTAGTATCATGCTCTTGTGGCGGCGCTGTCGTCGCGCCACAAGTGAAACACACCGAAGCCTAAATCACGCTATCAATATTCCGAATCATAAACAGTATATATAGAACATATCCGAACTATCACACGAAGTGTCGGCCGCTCCCCGGGCAGAACCTTGCCCGGCGGGAGATCTCCCCTTTTCCTTCTACGGCCACAGTGGTGACCCCGACGTTATCTGAACACGCAACCAACAACCTTCGGAAACTTCAAGCTTCATCATCGTCATAAAATACCCACCCATTCGCTCCCGAGCAGATATTATCTGCAGTCTTCATATCCTGCAAGCCATCTAGCTTCACAAGGTTCATCGCAGCACTCTGGAATAATAATTCTTCCTGTTCCTTCAAGCTACTCTCTGCACTATACAGTATTTGGCACGGCTCTGAGCCTTACTTCTCGCCTCCGCTTCACGGCACTCTCGCAGATTACTTGCCTTCTTCTCGACTCACCGCAGACTACAAGGCAATCCACTGGCACTTGCACATTCGTCGGCAACGAGGCTGCACTATCGACCTCCGGTCTGAGCAGGGGGTGATGTGGCGGCGCTGTCGTCAAGCCGCAAGTGAAACACACCGAAGCCTCAATCACGCTATGAATATTCCGAATCATAAACAGTATATATACATCCCGAATATCACACGGAGTGTCGGCCGCTCCCTGGGCAGAACACCTTGCTCGGCGGGAGATCTCCCCTTTTCCTTCTACGGCCACACTCTAAAATAAATATTTTTTAATCTTTTTACCGCTTACTTAACAATTATTTTTCAAAAGTAAATTATGCATCACTAGCTAACGCACACAATGACAAATCAAACTTTGTCACGCGTTTGCGGGCTGTCAGGTCATATGCCAGTATATTCTAAGTATGGAGAGTAGAGGTAAGGAGAACAATCTCTCTTAGGAGAATCGTTGTAAAAGCGTCCATCTGTAAGCAATAAATAACAGTTCAAAAATTCTCCACAACAGCGCTGGAGTAGCTACAGGAAACAGCTACATGGAATGTACTTAGCAGTTGCCGATGGTGTGACATGTGCTGCTAAACTGGTCAGTAGTTTTAAAATCTAAAATAATTTTGTTTAGTAAATATAACATTGAAAAAGTCGTCTATCCCACTAATATTTTTCAGCGCGTTCTTTAAAATTTACCACGTACATATAGTGGTGCCACCCTTATTTAACGGTTTTCTACGGACACTTTTTAATACACAGTCTGTACTCCTTACCTCTATACTCCATGATTCTAAGTTTATGAGACCAGCATGTGTTGGTAAACAAATCTGTAACAACACGACCGTTACGATGGAAACTATGGACCTTTATTATTGTAATTTTTAGGATTAAAAAGAAATAAATAGAACTAATGTCATAAAGAAGTACTTACACATAAAAGGTAATGCCATTTTTTTGTAAATTTGACGTGGCAGATCTCTTTTTGAAGCAAAAAACTGAACAATTTGGCATTTTTGTAGGACGTGGATTGAGTCACGCAACTAAATTTAGTCTAGTGATCAGTGCGATTGCAACTACTTTTATTGTACGCATAGGACCGTTTTGTCATATTTGGACTTATACTTTGGCACAGGTAATGTCCTCATATGGCTGCTCAAGTTTAGTACGTTGGCACCCAGTGCTTAAGCTTTATGGTCTGACATACTGTCGGACACTTCTAGCAGAAATTTTCTTACAGTTAAAAGATACGAATTAAATGTGTATATAAAATGACGTTCTAATAAAGAAAACTATTACTTTAAGCAACTTAGTTATTTTACTAAATAATAAAATATTCACACAGAACATATAAGCTATGTAGCCGAAAAAGCATAAGTACAAAATTTAATGATTTCTCATCATTGACTTAGTCTCGTCGCGGTATTCGTGCGAGGGAGACGCGTGTAAGCAAATAAGCTATTTTTTTGCGTTATTAGCTGTTAAAGTTGTTCGCGCTGCTACACCTCGCTACCTGTGTAGCGGAGTACCGTTATGTTGCCGATGTGCGAGCGACCCATTCATAACGAAGATATTCATTAGAGTGGTATAATACTAATGAATGTAAACAACTCGCATTTAGAGAATGTGAATACAGTTATAATGGCGAGCGATATTTCTTTGAGTGAACATAGTATATCAGATGCGGATGAAGAGCCTTACAGAGAAGAGAATTTAGTACAATCTGGAATGGAAGAAGACCAATTTAGGAAGGAAAAAAGGGATAGGGGGGAGAATTTTTTCGGGGATGCTGATGATAATGAAGGATGGAATTTAGTCAAAAGCAAAGAGAAAAGATTAAAACCACAACTGAAGGAGGATATTGAGTTGTATTTATCTAGCAATGAAAAGTTTCCCAAACAATTTGCATTAGCTAAGATGCTGAAGGCTTGTGGGATAGTTGATATCACCAGAATAAAATACATTAACCCTTTCAAGATTCGTGTCGAAGTCTGCAGCGAGTTAAGTGCCGATAAAATTGAAAAATGTCAGGAATTCAAGGATAAAGGTTGGAAGGTATACAGGGTTATGGAAAGGACTTCATCTTATGGCGTCATTAAAGACGTTGACCTTGATTTATCTGACGAGGAGATTTTAAGAAATATAATGTGTGATAAACCCGTAGAAATAATATCTGTATATCGGCTTAAACGTCGAAACAGAGAGGGAGAAGGTTGGCAGCCAAGTGAAGCGGTACAAGTATGCTTTAAAGGTTCATTTATTCCACAGTACATATACGTTCATGGATTACGTATAAAAGTTACTCCTTATGTATTTCCCGTATCGCAATGCTCGAAATGCTGGAAATATGGTCACCCTACAAAGAAATGCCCTTCCAGTAAAATAGTCTGTCCGAAATGCGGTGGTAGTCATGAGAACTGTGAAACACAGAATTTCCAATGTGTTAACTGTGGTGGAAACCATATGGCCTTGCATAAAGCTTCATGTCCAGCCTTTTTAAAGGAGAAGAGGTTGAGAGAAATCATGGTAGAATTTAACTGTACTTATAGGAAAGCCTTAACAGTATATGTACCGCCCTCAGCTTCCTTGCTTGGAAAAAATAGCTTTCGACAACAGTCTGACAATCCTCCTACCAACATGATCTCACAAACGGAGAGCAGATTCCAAGAACGTGATACCTCCACATTTGCAGAGATAGTTAAAACCGACGTCTCGTTGCATAAAGAGGATGTAAATGAGGTTAAAAACACTTCTGCCAATACTTCAATGAGATTTCGACGTACTCGTAGGAGGAACACGGCTTCTTGTAGGTTGGAGCTCCCGATAAACTCATCTACAATGAATAGTGAGTCAACAGTGCCTCCTGATGCGGCTGCTGGTGAAAAGAAAAGGAATGACAGTGTTCGTTTGGACGAGCTATTAGTGAGACTTAAAGAAATTATATTTTTAAGGGAATTGACGATGGAAGACAAGCTACATAGGGTGTTAAAGTGTTGTTTAGAGTGGTTAATCTTATTGAGTGTACAATTCGTATCAAAGTGGCCTTTATGTAAGATTATTGCTGACTATTTTACCTCCAATGTCTCGTAGTCAGAAATCTGTTAAGTTAAATATTGCACAATGGAATTGTCAAAGTATTCGACCGAAATTAATATCCTTAGAGCAATCTCTGAGTCAACTGAAAATTCACATTGCTACACTCAGCGAAACGTGGTTGGAACGAGATAGTCAGCTGAAGGTAAATGGTTACACGATATACCGTAAGGATAGGGATGACGGTTATGGTGGGGTAGCGGTTTTGGTCCACAGGTCTCTTAAGTCAAGTTATGTGTCGTTCGAAAGCTGTAACCCAGGGATTGAGATAATTTGTGTTAAGATTTGCAACTGTGAGCATGTTCAGTATATATTATCCTTATATTGTGCTCCGTCAGTTCACACGAGCCAAAGTGATTGGGAACAAATTTTTTCTCGTTTTAACAATAAGGTAGTTATTCTAGGCGATTTTAATGGACACCACACAAATTGGTCTCATAAATTAGATCAAAGAGGTACCCAGATTTATGACGCACTGATATGATACTGATCTCGTAACATTGAATGATGGCAACCCTACTCGCATTAAATTAGTGAATAATACAGTACAACAATCTGCGCCAGACATATCGCTGGCTTCCTCAGATATAGCGTGTAAATTTAATTGGGGCACACTTAATGAAACGTTTGGCAGCGATCATCTAGTGATTAAAATTTCAATGCAGATAGATAGTCTACCCATACCCACGATACGCAGGAATTATAAAAAGGCCGATTGGTCTGGGTACCGCAACTTAATAGAAACTCTTATGCAAGGTTTTATTATCACGGAAGACTCACAAAAAACATATGATTCATTTATCCAGTTGATTAATATAGCTGCAGACATTCACATTCCATATATTAAAATTAATTCTGACCCCGAGAAAAATTTCACTCCCAAACCTTACTGGAATAGTTCCTTATCAAAGTTGGTAGCCGAAAGACGGTTAGCGTTATCAACATTTCGACGTAACCCCACGCCCTTTAATTTTGACAAGTTGCAGAAGAAAATTAGGGAATGCCAGAGAAGTCTTCGTATAGCAAAAAGTAAAGTAATCACAAAAATTTGCATTTTCCAAAATAAATTTGTACGGGACCCTGTGTCTATATCTGTTAGTGGCATTTCTTTAGAAGTAGTTGATTGTGTGAAATATTTAGGTATTTGGTTAGACAGGAAGTTACGATGGTCTAAACAAATAAATGAACTAAAAGAAACATCCTCAAAAATGCTTAATGTTTTCAAAATTTTAGCGGGGACAGGCTGGGGCATTCACCCAACTCATTTAAGGCGTCTAAACATATCGTGTATTCGTAGCAGATTAGATTACGCAAGTTTCCTTTATGGTAGTAGTTGCAAGACACACACAAGCAAGCTAGATAAAGTTCAGAATCAGTGTATGCGGGTAATCGGTGGTTTTATTAAAACAACACCTATACAAGTCATGGAGTGCGAACTACACCAACCGCCTTTAAATGTACGAAGACATTATCTAACCGGAAAGTATTGGTTAAAGGCGAAATCCTTTTCTAACCACAAGATTATTCCCATTTTGGACGACCTGATTCTTTTAAGTCAAAATTCTTATTGGAGGTGCAAAGAAAAGCCCCTTTTAATTTTAGTTCACAGTTACCTTAAAGATACTGCTGTACATATTAGTACACAATTAGATATGTTTACACTTGATACCTGGGTCAGCAATGTGAATATTTCGAATATAATTAAGTTTAACATAGATGCCGTAAGTAACGCTAAAAGAAGTTATAATTCTTTGACATTACAACAACTGTGTAACAGTTTTATTAAAAATACGTATTCAAGTTATTACAAAATTTATACGGACGGTTCAAAGGAAAGTAATTGTGGCGGTCTAGCTATTTATGACCCGCAAGTGGGTAGTTCAGTGAAACTACGTATTGATTTAAATGTCTCCATAAAGTTGTTAGAATTGATAGCAATATCAGAAGCAATTTCTTATGTTCAATCCTTTCAACCGGGCAAATACGTCGTTTTAACGAATTCCAAGAGTGCATTACAACACATTGCTCGATGCACCTCGAATAGTCGAGGCACACCGATAGCATACACTATCTTGGAGTCACTATCCTCTCTAGCCACAAAAAATTACACAATAGTTTTACAATGGATACCTTCACACGTAGGCCTTACAGGAAATGAAGAGGCAGACTATCTAGCTAGACAGGCCTTGTCTGAGGGTATCCCTTCAGTTTGTTTGCCGTATTATACCGACCTTTTTTATATGATTAAAAATAAATGTAGAAATATGTGGAAAGAATATTTTGATAATCGATCTCGAGTAAAAGGCATATGCTATAAAACATCCAAAATAATTTGTCCCGTTATCCTTGGTTTATTAATTCCAATTTGTCGAGACACACCATTGTAACTGCTATGAGACTGCGCTCCGGACATATCCCACTGAATAGTTTTGCTTACCTAATGGGCAAAGCTAATTCCATGAATTGCACTGACTGTGATCTCATTGAAGATGTTTTTCATATTTTAGTGGAATGTGCCCGGAACGAAGCTGAGAGGATATCCTTTGGGCTTGCTTACGGCATTAGCTTGCATGACATTGGTCTTTGCAATAGTATTCTTGCTATTCCCTTATCATTTTTTTTTGCGCCCGAAGCAATTAAAGGGCTACCCTATACGTAGGGAGGCGCAAAATGCATTACGCATACCACGATAGCCGGTCTATCGTGGTTATGAGGGGCTCGCTGTCCTACCGGTGACCCTAAGTGATACCCTCTAAAAACCGCCTTTGGGGACAGGCAACCGGCTGATTAAGCTCTATTGTGCCTTATCATGAGCGACCCTCTTTTGGGAAAAGAGGGCGCAGGCGGCTAAGTGCCGCTGAGGGAGTGCCTACGAAGGCAATTTAATGTTAGTTATTACAATAATTTTATTTAATTAGAGTTGGCCTGAGCTGCCAGGAGACAGTTCAGGTCGTTTGAAAGTTTATTAGGCGGGTCCGAGAGAGTTTCTCGGCCTGCGGACACGATAGCGAGAGGGGGGGTGGGGCTGCATAAGAAGCTGCCTCACGAATTAAATGGTTTGGGTGCGACTCTGAGGCTTTGAAGAAGTTCTCAGAGAGTTTTTTAAAAAATTGTTGAATTGTTGGGAGCTCTAAGTCCCGATGAAGGTCGGCATTACGGACGTACCAAGGTGCGTTCGCAGCTCGACGACAGAAGAGGTTCTGAACTATTTGGAGTTCATTTAAAATATTAGGGTTAGCGTGGGCAAAGACGGGGCCCGCGTAGGATTCCCTTATCAGAGAAAGCGAGATTCTTATACATAGTGGCTGATTGTGCTTTTAAACGTAGATAAGAATATTAAATTGTGTATTTTTTAATTATCACGACGGTAACTATGGGGATGGCATGATCATGCTTGATCAAATCCTCTATTTCTCAATAAAGATTAAAAAAAAATCATTGACTTATATATTACTAGCGTAAGGACCGGGCCGACCGAACAACTAAAACGGACAGATGCGCTGGCCCTAAAATTACAGTTTAGGTCCAACGGAATCGGTCGACAGTGGTGCGCGCGCAGGACAGATTTGCCTGTCACAAATATGTCTAGTTGCGTGGTAAAAGAATGCAAAAATTATGATACATAGTTTGTAAAAAAAAGGATATCGTATCATCGGTAAATAACCTTATATTAATTTTGTTCAAATTAAATTATTATATAAATGCATTTTTAAAGTTTTATTTTACAGTTAGTTTAGTCACGTTACCAAGATTAGTCCAGGTTTGGGTTTGGACCCTCAAAAATATTGTACATGGAAGATAAAATTATACTCTTTTAAAAAATTATATCACGTTTGACGTTTCCTGTTTATTTTTCCCATGTGCCGGGATTTTGGCGTCACGCGTCTAGTTTATCTATAAGTTTCGTTTTTTGATGGTTTTATTTTTATTTCTGTTTAATTTTTGTCTAAAGTACTTAGTGTAAGTTAAATTTTGAATATTGGTACCTAATATATTTTATATTCAGTAAGGGTAAAACAAAAAGAGTACAAAAGTAACCATATCTGCTTAATTGAATCTGAAAATCTGATTCATAAAATATATCGAAATTCTGGTAGTCAAACCGATTGCTTCTGGAGCATATAATTTTTATCGTGGTAGCCCCACATTATAGTTGTATCAAGGATACAACATAAATGCATCGATCGAGCATCGATTGACCAGAAAGGGAGCTAATTCTAATTTTATTAAAAAAAGGCGGTACTCATTTACAGTATAGAAATTCTCGATATCGTAGGGGTAATATTAAAATGTAAAAGGACCCAATAATAATACAAGTCGACTTTTGGATAAAATTATGGTATTTTCGCTTAGTATTATTACGATACTATGTACTACAAACTATGAAATAATGGTACAATTAGGATAATTATACTATGAAATCCGACCCTGGTTACATCGTGTTTTATATGACGTTTGTATTATGGACAGATGCGCTACTTTTTCTTGTATGAAAAAGTTATGAGTAAAATATTTAGATGGGCCTATCCTTCATTTTGAAATCATTGTTTCTCATGCAGGAATGTAAGCCCATTTATAATATATCTACAATAAAATTGGAATATTTCCATAACACTGTTTCCATAAACCTTTTACGTCCAATATTGAATCATGTTATGAAACAGTCTTTTGACATTGGAAGAATGGCGCACTTTAATGGATAAGTGTCTTCTGTACAACGTTGTAAATAGTCGAGTTAAGACGTATCCCTGATCAAAATATTGCGAAAGTGCGTTTTTCAGACTCTATTATCTCATTAGTTATGAAAAATAAACTACATCTAAAAGCACATTATTAATGTTCGATATCCTATTATCACATTCCACGTTCTAATTAATATAATACACACACACACACTTTTATTTCGAATATGGTGACAAACAAGAACACACTCCACTTGATAGTGATGTGGATGCTATGACCCATAGACATCTGCATCCATCCTCGATTAAGAATAA